GTCCATGTGGTGGATAATGACCTCTTGTGGTGAACAAACGGAAGTTCATAGACCGGATTCGTGACAATGTCACCAGTACACAATTTCTTAATCTGTATTTTGGACTAGTTTTTACAGTAAAATATTAACATTATCAAATTTAAAAAACATTAATATTAAAAATATAATGAATCAAAAGTATATAAAATATACAAATATTTACATTACAACATTATTAAAACAACAAGGTAAGTAAAACTAAGGTATTAAGAGTAGTTTCAGAGATTTGTTTCATTCAATTACATTTATTGTTCTTACATCAGTGGCAATTAGTTTTTAAGCACACATCTAAAAAAGTATAGAGAAATTAAAACTAGAAGAAAAAAAAAAACCAACTATTTGCCACAATCTCTGAAAACAAATTTTATACACTTTTGCATATTTATACAAGGAAACATATCATGTTTTAAGAATATCCAGATAATTTCTACTGGGAAATAATGCATAAGTGACCCTGCCTGGAGCACAAAACCAGTCTCAAGTCACTGGGGTATATTGTAGCTATAGCCAAAAAAAACATTGTATGGGTCAAAATTATAGATTTTTCTTTTATGCCAAAAATCATTAGGATATTAAGTAAAGATCATGTTCCATGAAGATATTTTGTAAATTTCCTACCGTAAATATATCAAAACTTAATTTTTGATTAGTAATATGCATTGCTAAGAACTTCATTTGTGCAACACCCGCTGAGTGGCATTAAACAGCTTGAAAGATCAAAAACAATTTTTAATGTAACTCCGACTAGATTCGTCTGAGAAATCCAGAAGAAGAAAGTCATATACACCTAGGATGACTTGAGGGTGAGTAATTTATGGGCTAATTTTCATTTTTGGGTGAACTAACCCTTTAAGGTAATAAAACTATTACTGAAATAAAACTCCAATGTTACTTCCACATCTCTCATATTTCTTTCCTTGAAATAGATAAAGGAACGATATCGGTTAACGGAATCCATGAAATAAACAGTCCATCCAACAAGGTAAAGGTTCCTCTGCTTCCTCAGTCATTGTGAGACATTCCAGTACGTACTGGATGTGTTATTCTTATTTATTATTACATTTCACAGGACAGGAATGGGAACCAGCTGCAGGACAAGATGTTAAATGAGGTACACCTTAAGGAAGCTTTAAAAAATAAACACTGAAGATAAAAACAAAGATAACTGTCCAAACTATTTGTGTTGTAGGAGGTGTGCCAAAGACTTGTGAACCTCAGCACTCAGCTTCATGCACTACAGGTGGGATTTAGACAGAGACGTGTGCTAAATCGTGAGATTTTAAATGACTCATTGTTGCTGTGTCTGTAGGCTGCAGTGATCAAGCAGGACTCATTCCTGGAGGTGTACATGCAGAAGGACTTGTGTCCCACTACAGCAGCAGTGCCGGAGACAGGTGGTCCTGAGGGTACTCAAGGAGATCTGGCAGAGCTACAGCGCAAGTACAACCTCCTGCAAGGAGAAGTGATCCGACTGCGGGCCGCCCAGGACAAGATGGGCGATAGAGCGCCAATTCAGCTTGAAAAACAACTCCAAGAGCTACGGCTTAAAGACACAATGGACACACGTGACACATTGATCTCACAGGAAACAGCAGTTCAGGTGGATGGCATGCAAGAGGACAGTCCCAGAGGTGAGTGCAGTTCTCAGTCGTGTAGTGTTCCTTTCCTTTTTCTCCCCTCAATTGCTGTATCTCCTGCTGTATCTTACTATCTATTAATATAGGAACATGTAATGTCCTGCCTCTGCGAAAATCCGAAAACAAAATAACAAGTCAGAAAACACAACGACAAATCCGGAAACAAAATAACAAGTCAGAAAACACAACGACAAATCCGGAAACAAAATAACAAGTCAGAAAACACAACGACAAATCCGGAAACAAAATAACAAGTCAGAAAACACAACGACAAATCCGGAAACAAAATAACAAGTCAGAAAACACAACGACAAAT